TAAAAATGACAGATGGCAAATATGGTCTATACAGCCATGTCTCTTGTGCATATAATTATTTTTGAGATTATGTTTTCTGATTTATTTAATATAATATAGTCTAGCGTCTTTTTAATATTAAAATTGAATCAAATTAAATATAATACAATACTTACGAGTATTAATTAATACATTATATTAAAGTTACTAAATGTGAACTTCGACCATATTGTTTTTATATATTTATTGCAGATTTCAGGAAGTACTTTTGTAGTAACAAGCATACGTGGCTTCCCACAAACAGTGTCATTTGCTTAGATTATTACCAGACCTCCGACTTTCGAGGGTTGGCGAAAAATAGATGGCGATTATTTGACGGCATCAAGTCAACTTGAACACCACACTATATTATTGTTCCGTAAGCTTCTTTTTGAACGATGAGAGAACGGTGAGCTGAAAGTAGGGAAATTTGGAATAGGGCAACGGAACTCAAGGGGCCAGCAGCAGGCCGACTTCATGGAGAAAGAGGGACTCTTTATGATGAACTCTTTCTTCCAGAAGCGGCCCCACAGGAAGTGGACCTGGTCGAGCCCCGACGGTTCGACAAAAATGAGATTGACTTCATTATGACGACCAGACGACAACTGTTCAGTGATGTCTCAGTGATCGCGAGGGTGAAAACCGGCAGCGATCACCGAATGGTTAGAGGCACACTGAACCTAAACGTTAAGTTGGAGAGGTCTCGTCTAATGAAGTCAACGCTCCGTCCCCCTCGTGCTCTAATCCAAAGTCCCGAAACCTTTCAGCTCGAGTTACAAAACCGTTTTCAGTGCCTAGAAGACTGCAATGAAGTGGACGATTTGAATGGCAAGCTCGTGGAAACTGTCCATGCGGTCGGAGCTAAGTCCTGCAAGACCCGCCGCAGAAGAACACAAAAACTCTCCGATCACACTCTTAATCTCATGGCTGTTAGACGGGAGATGAAGCTACATTCTTCAACAGATTTAACAGCATACAGGCAACTGAACAGACAGATCTCCAAATGCATGCGGCGGGACTTACGCAAATTCAATACAGCTCGTATTGAAGAAGCGATCGAGCGGAACCGAGGCTCCAAAGTCTTTGCCAGAGATCTGTCTGCCAGAAAGCGCCAACTGTCAAAGCTGAAGACAGAATGTGGCAGCATCGTTTCCGGGGCACCTGAGATTTTGAGTGAGATTGAGAGGTTCTATGGGCAGCTGTACACGTCATCGTTGGAGCCGCACGCAAGTGTGAGTAACGATCCAAGAGCGAGTCTTATCCGACATTATTCCGATGATATCCCGGACGTCAGTCTGAGCGAGATTAGAATGGCTCTCCAGCACCTTAAAAACGGCAAGGCCCCAGGCGAGGATGGAATTACAGCGGAGCTTCTGAAAGCGGGTGGAAAACCGGTACTTGAAGTCCTTCAGAAGCTCTTTAATTCCGTCCTCCATGGTGGCATTACACCGGAGGCGTGGAGCAGAAGTGCGGTGGTCTTGTTCTTCAAGAAAGGCGACAACGCTCTCTTGAAGAACTACAGACCGATTTCCCTTCTGAGCCGCGTCTACGTGCTGTTTTCGAGAGTCATTACGAATCGTCTCGCGCGCAGACTTGACGACTTCCAGCCTCCCGAACAAGCCGGTTTCCGAAAAGGCTTTAGCACCATAGACCACATACATACCCTTCGGCAAATTGTACAGAAGTCCGAGGAGTACAATTTATTACTATGTCTGGCGTATGTGGACTATGAGAAAGCCTTTGATTCCGTCGAAATTTGGGCGGTGCTGCAGTCCCTTCAGCGATGCCAAGTTGACTGTCGGTATATCGAAGTGTTGAAGTGCTTGTACAGTAGGGCTACGATGGCTATCCGAGTACAGAACCAGAGTACGAAACCTATCCAATTGCAGAGAGGTGTAAGACAGGGTGACGTCATATCCTCGAAACTCTTTACCGCTGCATTGGAAGATGTTTTCAAGCTTCTGGACTGGAAAGGATACGGTATCAACATCAATGGCGAGTACATCACTCACCTTCGATTTGCCGACGATATAGTCCTTATGGCAGAATCGCTGGAGGACCTAAGCACTATGCTCAATGACCTCAATAGTGTTTCCCAACGGATAGGTCTTAAGATGAACATGGACAAAACAAAGATCATGTTTAATGTCCATGTCACACCTATGCCGGTAGTTGTTGGGAACACTAAGCTCGAAGTTGTTGACGAGTATGTTTACCTGGGACAAATAGTCCGACTAGGTAAGTCCAACTTCGACCGAGAGGTCAATCGACGGATTCAACTCGGTTGGGCAGCGTTCGGGAAATTACGGCACATCTTCTCGTCAGGTATACCTCAAAACTTGAAAACGAGACTGTACACCCAGTGCGTGTTGCCAGTGATGACATACGGAACTGAGACGTGGTCCTTCACTGCTGGCCGGATGAGGAAGCTCAAGGTCGCTCAGCGAGCTATGGAGAGGGCTATGCTCGGAGTTTCTCTGCGTGATAAACTCAGAAATGAGGATATCCGCAGTAGAACTAGAGTGACCGACATAGCCCAACGGATTAGTAAGCTGAAGTGGCAATGGGCCGGCCATATAGCTCGAAGAACCGACAACCGATGGGGAAGAAAGGTTCTCGAGTGGCAGCCTCGTACCGGCAGGCGAAGTGTAGGGCGTCCCCCCACTAGATGGAGTGACGACCTGGTAAGATATGCAGGAAGTCGATGGATGCAGGTGGCTCAGGACCGTGCTTTGTGGCATTCTTTGGGGGAGGCCTATGTTCAGCAGTGGACTTGTGAGGGGCTGTAATGATGATGATGATGAAGCTTCTTTTTCATCACGGAGAAGGAAAACTAGCGTACAGTCAACCTGATGGTAAGTAAACTGTGGTCCATGGACATTTATGATCTCAAGGCCAACAAACCGTTACAGATTGCAAATGCGTCACCAACCCTGAGAACTAAAATGTAATGCCCCGTGCCACCCGTAAAATGTTGAATACGTAGTATAGTGTAGTATGTGGTTTAGTCATAGTTGTGAGATGAAGCTCAGAGTTCTCCACTTCAAAAAATGTACAATGTCAAATCTAATTTTCCAGAGCCATCAATTCTTATTTACTCTACCAGATGACATACTAACATTTTACGATGCCATTAGTTCTCTCATTATTCCTGATTCGTTAACATCTTTATCAAAAACATCGCAAATAAAATAAAGCCCAAAGTAATAATTATACATTTTCAAAAAGGGCTTTACGAAGCTTTCAATTGATTAATCAAATAAACGTTGAACTCCGATTTTCCATCTTTAATTTTCTCCTGCCTTAAAAATTTATACTTACGTCTGTAAGTCAAAAACTCGAATTTACAAAATCATGTCTGTACTTGGGTAACCGCGTTTTATTTCTTTGCTAAATTTTAATCGTCTACGTGAAATACTCTCAGTAAAAACCCCTTTGAAAGACAGACATCGAGGTGATTCCACAAGTATTCCATTTTGCTTAACGTTGCCTTTGATAATCATTAAAAAGAAGTATTAGTACCTAAAGGGCTGATACCAGAACAGATAGAACAGATACCAGAACAAATACAAATAAATGAATTACTAGCGTCTATTAACATTAAGCGTCATTTGAAATAAAATAATATTTAATTCATGGCAAGATAAGAAAAAGTGCGAGGGAGAGGAATATTATTCCATCTCACTTCCTTATTTCGCCGCCAAGGCCGTCTACACTATGACACAAGGGGTAGTGACGAAAAAATCTTACACTTTTTGTCGCCTAGCTCCCATCCGTGTCTACTGTCCGATAAAGAACTTCGTTCCAATAGGAGGATAAGGGCATTGCTACGTACTCGTTCCAAAACTTACAAAGACGACCAATTTTGGATTTTGAATATGTTATCCAAGTTACAAGCTCTTTCGATCTTAATAGTATATCATTAATATATTTTTAAGATATATAATGATTTTTAATGCATCTTGGGCTCTTGGTGCTTTTGTATAGTGCCCCAATTGAATAATTGATTTGATTTATGAGTACGTTAATAAACCAGCACTCAAAATTGCCAAACAGAAGAGCGGTCACTGATTAATAAGTGAAACTAAATTTTATTTTTAAAATTATTTTTTTAAGTTTTTAAATTATGTGGCCCATTTTCTGTATAATCAGATAAATAAAATTTTGTACATGAATCAATTTAAAGTGGCAGGAAATGTGTCATACGATGATCCGGAAAATATTCTGAATGTCTTAAGCTAATTTATGATAATATATTTAAATTAACCCTAATCAGTTGGCCCTAAGCAGTTAAAGAGCCGTGGTAGCTCAAATGGTTAGCGGTCGCCGTAAGCTTTACAGTACTCGAGCAACCCGGGTACGATCCCCGCCGGCACCAATGAAATTGTTAATTGCAATTTTAAGTGCTGATTTACCACGTGCTCAGCGGTGAAGGAAAACATCGTGAGGAAACCTGCATGTATGAGAAATAAAAAAAAAAATATTTCAAAGACATGTGAAGTTCGCCAACACGCATTGGGGCAGCGCGGCGGACATTTCCTTGCCCTAAAACCCTCTCAGAAATGAGAGGAGGCCTGTGTCCAGCAGTGAGACGTAAATAGGCTGCAAGTAATCAATTGCCATGTTATTAATTTTATATAAGGAACATAAAATATGTTTTTTATTGAAATAAAAAAAAAATTATGTGAAGTTACATAAAATCTAAGGTATTATTCAAGGCGTGCAATTGTTTTTAAATCAAATTGACAGAAAACTTACAGTCCACCTTATGGTGAGCAGTTACGACAGTCCATGGACACCTGTAATGAACTTTAAACAAAGAGGGCTACAGATGCGTTGTCTTACAGCATGTAATTATGTTGACTCTTTCTGCAGTGCAGGGTATGCTGCTTGGCGGCATAAAGGTGGTATCTACCCAGACGAACACCTATGCAGAAACTAGTCTAATAAAAAATGGTCTTTCCACCAAAATGTTTAATTACCTAGGTATATCGTCATCGCCGGAGTAAACCTCGAGAAGGAACCTTTGTGGCAGGCCACCGTCGAAGCCTGGCACGCAAGACACTTCCACTGAATCAGCTGTTTGATTCCAGAGCGTACAATTGCGCGGTGCATGAGGTTTACCTAGATAACAGTTGTTATTATTAACACTTTAAAGGTAAAATTCCGTAGCCGACCGCAGACAGCAGCAGCAGGTGACGTGTCGTCGCGACATGTCGCTGCAGTCAAGATTCCGAACCCGACATCCCGTGTTCCAATCTGTATATATACATATACCTATTTACCGATTTTATTTAACACCTTTCCTATATTTATCAAACATTATCTTTTGTCACCCTGTTTAAATAATGATTGTGAGATGCATCGTACAGTGCGGGATATTGGGCCACCTGGTTTATCAGTTTCTCTTCCACGGAATCGGTGAAACTCATTTTTTGAGAAAAATTCAACGTGTCGCTTGGGCGTTGGCGGCACTACTGATCTGCGGTCGGGCGACATGTCGACTGCCGCTCTGGCAAACGACGTGTCGCTAGCTACGGAAGTTATTTCATAGAACTACATAGAAACCAGTCGTGTCGCGACGACATGTCGGCTGCTGCTGCTGTCTGCAATCGGCTACGTAATTGTACCTTAACTGTCCACTTTTCAGACACAATAGTAATACAATAGCAATGACCTATATGTAGCGCACGGGACATCGCAAGGATTAAGATACGTAATTAAACTTGAAATATGAGCACATAATCGTTCGTCCATTTATAACAACCAAAAGTGTGTGTTTGTACATAGGCTTTCCCCGTAGATTATCTCATATCAGGGATATTTGTCATAGTTATCACGCTCGGCAATCGGGTTAGCAGCCACAGTTTTTATTATTTTGAATTGTTTTTTACGTGGTAGAGCCATGCTGCAGTTATATTAATAGTATAACTGAAGCACGGATGTGTCGGCTCGACCGGAGAAGGAACACGCTCTCACAGACCAGCGTAATATCGTATAATCTCATACAATAGCAGCTTAATGCTGCTATGTCTCGTATGGTGAGTCTAGAGAACCGGCTGACAACGCATCTGCATTTTAATTCGTAAACGATGATAGATGTAGATTTCTATGAGCCACAGCAACCATTTACCATCAGGTGGACTGTATGCTCGTTTTTCACCTTTATTTTATAAAAAAAAAATGTTCCTTTGTCGCTTCTTACGACACCCATGACATGATATGCGGAGGTGAATTTCTTACGCTACCACTACACGACGCATATAATATAACAATTTCAATTTATTATATTTACAATTTGTTTACATAAAGCGATGATATACCTACCAGTTATTAGAACGATGTATACAATAAGCTAGAGAAGGGTTGTAAATTGAAAATTTACTACCTACATAATTACTGACAGGCTATGCGACGTTTCATTTGAATTATCATGGCGACAAACCATCAGTAAACTTCCTTGTTTAAAGTTGGTTGCATGTGTCCATTGACTGTTCTATCTACTTACCATCGGGTGGTCTTTGTTGGTCAGTATAATATTATAAAATCATTAAACAAGCATGCCATATAAATTATTTGAACACTTTACAGCCTGCAACTTCTTTTTACTATTGTGTAGAGAAATTTTAATTTTTTTAGTTACTTAAAGTGGTATCTAACAAAAATATATAACTGCTCGTAATAAAAGAAGAAAAAAAAGAGCGTTGTTATCCACCAATGGCAAGAAAAATCCAAATCCACATATTCAAAATCATCCACAACCAAATTGAAAATATAATGTTTTGAGTATTGGAAAAAATTTGAGCTCATGCTATGGACTCAAATCCAGGACTTGCAACTCTCCTAAGTACTTTGACCACTAGGTCACGCAGCCGTTAAAAGTTATTGCATCTTATTTAAATTATATTAATATAAAAGTCTACTGTTGAACATATCATGCCTCTCCCATAGAGAGGGGATTTTGTCCCAGTTTTCACGATCGGTAAGCGTGTTGGCAACCATAGTTTTTTTTTTTTGGAATTATTATCAAGAATATCGCCTCCGGATGTAGTGGAAGATATGAAGTGATGGATCTTCTTACACCGCCACTACACGGTTATTATATATTTTTTTAAATATTAGCAAAGCTACTAACATTACTGACGTTAACTTTAACCACTCCTGGTACGTTTAAAATGTATTAGGAGTGGTTCACGACAGTAGCCGAATGGCGGATACGAACCCATGACCTTTAGAGTTTACATTCTGCACCCTGCCATTAGGCTAACTTTCGCTTATGGTTAACTAATGTTAATATTAGTAAGTACACTTATGTTTTTTTTTCTTAGTAAATATTAACTTTATACAAAATACTTATCCAAAACTTGATCCTTACCTGCTGCAACCATTTGAAACACGCAGGGTGCGAGCTGCGTTCCTACTTCATTTGACGCTGAGCACGAAAGTGTTCCATAGTCTAGATCAGCGACGGGCGTGTACCTGGTGATGCATAGATTATTTAAATTATAAATGAATGTAAATGTAATGTAAATTATAAACAAGGAAATAAAATAAAAATAAATGCTTTATTCCATCTTTTAACAACTATTAATTTGTGTGTGTGTGTGTGTGTGTGTGTGTGTGTGTGTGTTTGTGTCAGAGAGAGAGAGTTCCATTTGTGGTGACCAACTTCTATTCTGAGATCATCCAACACTGGATCTAGGGCTTCTATCTAGTGTCATTTATGACACTAGATAGAACTACTACCATGTGACTGAATGCATAATATGCAATAAAAATAGAATTTGCTGGAATTTGTCAACTATAGCCGACTGTATCGCCGCTGTGATTTTGTTTAAAAATAAACATCACAGACTTGCGAGCGGATTGTATTTCCATAGGCAATCTGAACCAAATTTAAACTTTGTGTTTCGTATAGACTAGAGTTTCCTTTTCAGCAGCAAGCTCAGCCCATAAACTGCTTCCTGACAAATAAGGGTTCTTTTAAAAAAGATAAAGACTTTTTTTATAACTAACTAGCGATCACTGATGTTTTCTAAATGGCCATTTTTAATGAGTACGATGATACATTTTGTAATTTCCATCAAGATATGGTGTAAGATGTTATTGAATTAGATACAAATACCAAAACATTTTTATTATTGCTTGCAAAAATAAAACAATTGAATACAATTGGGATTTCGTGAATTATTATAAGCATAACTTAACACACTACAATCTAAAATCATACTTAAAAACATGAATAATTCATAGCCTACAATTTACAATTGTATCATATTTGAATAGGTTATTTTACGAAACAAGCTTAGTAATATAATGTTTTTCTTTCACACAGCACTCGTTACCAGTCTATATAGATTCCAAATCCCAAATTAAAAGGCACGTGTTCAGTATCAACCTCGTCTGTACAAGGTTGTCTCATTTCCGAATTTATAACTCACTGTACATATATTTTAAATTGGGTGGTTTGAATTACGAACTTACTTCTTTTTCGTTTCGAGCACGAAGCTTAACGTAATTGACGAAATAAAATTCCTTTTCCCATTTCCAATCCCTTCGAAGCACAAAATTAATTGGTACGGTTGAAACTGTTGGTGAATTAAAATGTTCACATCTATGTCATGTTTGTTTTGGGTTATATTGTAGGTACATGTTAGATAGTTAAAATTACAGCATTCAAACGTCCAACTGCTTGGCACAGGCCTCCTCTCATCTCTGAGAGGGTTTGTGAGAAATATCCACGTCTTCGAAATATGACGATCACGATGTTTTCCTTAGTCGCCGAGCACGTCGTAAATCAGCACTTAAAATTGCAATTTTATAGGTGACGTCGGGGTTCGAACCCGGGTTGCTCGAGTACTGCGAAATTTACAGCGCGCGTTTCGCTCCTGAGCTACCACGGCTTGTGGTATTTCTTAAATGTTGATTTTTTTTAAATTTTTAATTATTAATTCTAAAGATATTTGACATTTCACCATCTGTATACTCAATTTAACCAGAAGGAAGTAGGCGTAGAACATTTTTTTATTAAATTAAACTATATGCCTCGCTTATAATCCGTAATTGCTCCAAGTCTATTGCTATTAGTTAATTTATAATTAACTTAAAAAAAATTCGAAAATTTAATTTTGCTATAAAACATAAAATTGCTACACGCCTATGCCAATTAGTTAATTTATAATTAATATTTTAACAATTTTATTTTATAAAACTTAATTTTAATAAAATTTTACTATAATATTTTTTAATTAAATTTTAGAAAATGATTTCTTATATTTACTCGAACACTACACATTGAATAAAACTACTTTTACGGATTTTATCGCGTTAAATTAACTTATTTTTATTAATTCCCGACGTTTCGGGTGCTTTACAGCACCAAAGGTCACGGGGACTGAGGTGATTGACGTCCCGATGTCATAGTTAACCCGGAGTACCTTCAGCTTTTTTAATTATTAATTTTGGTCCGATCATACAGTAATTGTCAAAGTAATCAATCCGTAATAGATCCACGCATACTATTAGTTATTTTAAAATTATTTTCTTTTTAATTTAATTTTGCTATAAAACATAAAATATCTACTTTTATAAATTAATCTCTGCACTAGTCTCAGACTCGGATCATTTGCTCAAACCATCGGCATATTGTATGAGGGCAAGCGGCCTGTCTTGGTAAACAAATCCGAAACAACACCACCGTTATTATTGTAATTTTTAAGTTTAAAAAGTAGTTAATAGCAATAAGTGATTAAAATTACTTATATATGAATGTTGACGGTATGTTTTTTGTAAATTTGACGTGGAAGATCTTTTTTTGCAACAAAAAACTGAATAATTAGGCATTTTTGTAGGACGTCGATTCAACCGCGCAATTAGATATCTAGTAAGCAGAGCGACTGCAACTTATACTTTGATAGAGGGGAACTCTTTCGTTGGCTATAGTGGTCCGTATTGCTCTATGGTGTTCTGTAATGCCTGCTACACACTGAAAGATATATTGTAGCCATTAATCTGTGCAAACCGATTCGCGCAGATTTATCGATTGTGTGTATGACTAATCGTTGCAGATTATCTTTCATGTTCATGCAGTTGCAATTTCTATTAGATAAATCGTTGTCGATTGCGTTTGCAGAGTTGTTTCGATATCGACGGCTTCAACAGTCTGAAATCGCTACGATATATCGTTAGATGTGTAGCAGTCATAAGCAACATGGGTAGCTTTAAATAAAAAAGTAATCAACAAAAGCCGTACTTAAGGCTCGATGCGCTGCCGTTCGAAGTGTATCTGTCTGCGGCTACGTCGAGGGTCTCGCCCGAGTTGTTGAACTTCCACTTGAAGACGGCGGCCGGCGGGTCTGCGTCCACCTCGCATACAATCACGACGGATTCGCCGCGCGCCGCCCCCACCACTGACACACCGCCGCTCCGGCACGACGGCGCGTCTGTAATAACATTATATTATAGACACACATAAAAAGTACACACATAGTAATTTTGCAAACAATATATCAAAATTAGAATTCGAAATAAAATAAGATATGCAAAGAGTCGATAGATGCAGGTGGCTTAGGACCGTGCTTTGTGAAATTCCTTGCGGGAGGCATGTTTTCAGCAGTGGACTTGTGAAGGCCTGTAATGATGATGATGGTAATATAAAATAAAATAAAATAAATAAAATAAAATAGCCTTTATTTCTACTACAATTTAAACTTGACATATGATTAATCTAGGTTATAACAGTATAGTATAATTAATATGTATTTTTGTTATATGTATAATTATATATTGTGTATATATATTATATATGTATACATATATGTCTTATTTACTATTAGTAGTAGTCGCCTCTGCGGCGTAGGCTCTCCTTAACCTTTCCATATATCTCTTTCTCGAGCCACTCGCATCCATAGAGGTCCACATCTCTGATTAAAATTGTCTCTCCACCTTTTACTTGGTCTCCCTTTTTTTCTCTTTCTGTCTCTTGTTATCCATTCTGTTAGACGTTTGGTCCATCTGTTATTATTAATCCTACAGATGTGTCCTGCCCAGTACCACTTGAGTAATCTTGTTCTTTTTCTTACAAGAAAAACGTACTTATTTTGTAAGATGATAATATAGATGAATGAAAATTGCCATGTGTAGGGTGCTTAAGAGAATCTACAAGCCCATTTCATCCGATAGCTTTTGTAAGATAAAAAATAAGCCATTATAGGTATGTTGTAGAGCCGTGCTTCAGCTATATTATAGTTGTAGCACGAATGAGTCGGCTCGACCAGGTAAATACCACGTTCTCACAGAATACCAGCGTAAAATGGCAGCTGCACTTTGCTATGTTTCGAATGTTGAATGTAGTTAGAGATCTGGAAACCCTTTTTAAAGGAAACGAGTTATTCCATATTAGGCGTGATAAAGCATCTGCATTTTAACACTTAATCAAGGATAGGTGTAGATGACCATGGTCCATAGAATCCAGCTGGACTATGTTCTCGCTTGTCACACTTATTCTATAGAAATTGCCAGAAAGATGACGATATAATCACCTAATTTAATTACACTGGGCGTAAAATAATAATAATGTCTTTAAAAATTTCAACACAAACAACACAAACATAAAAATAATTTTGATTACGGCGAAACGTAGTTGTCTGCGCAGAATAGGATTATAATGCACGGTGTGTGCGCAGCAAACACATACGCACTCTATATTCCCTCGTTTAGAATGTATGGAACGGCAATGTGATAAGACCGCTGAGAAACCTGGCGTAGAACCAATGGATTCACGTACTTTTCGAGGGAACTTTTACTTTTCGGGTTGAAACATCATCACCTTTCTGATTACGGTCTGCTACGAATAATTTAGACAGAACAAAACCAATTAATAGGTTTTGGCAGAAACTTGGAATCAAAGCTAAGAAAAGAAAAATTAGCAGTAAATTTTACGACTTGTAGACTAACGAGACAGCCTCTGTAGGTGTAAGTTATCCATGGTAGTGATGAGGAGAAGCATCAAAGGTCTGCCAACCAAGGGTGACATTTAAGGCTTATCGTCTCTACAACATATTCCTTGTGCAGGAGTAGACTTATACGGGCTGAAGATAACAAGTAAGAAGAAGGAGAAAAAATATATTTTAATGTTAGTTAATTATAAGCGCATCTGCTATTCCCCTATTGTTGCAGTTGTTCATGGGCGGCGGTATTCATTTACCATCAAGTGAACCACACGCTCATTTGCCTACTCTTGTATAAAAAACAAAAATAAACTTGTGATCGATATATCACATAGAAAAATTACTGCTGCCACAAAATGTTTTAAAAATAACTTTTGATTTAGTATTAAAACATGGTGACAACTGCTATACATAGAAAGCGACCAACTATTTCAAATGCAAATGCTTCCCAGATTCAGACATACGTCTGAGAATATAAATATTTTAACTAGTAAGCCACAGCAGGGCCGTCAATTTAAATAAGATATAAGATAAAGATAGAAATCTACTGATGTAACACAATCACTTGAATACATTGCGATATAATCTTGATCTCTTTCCATTACAAAAAAGAGTTCGGAAACGGCGTTTAAGGTGCGGGTTTGTCCCAAGTAGGTAACAATATATCCTTGTCACGCGATATCTGTTCATTGCGGAATTGTTGTCACTGATTGTACGTTTACTGAAACATGTCACGTATCAGACACGGCTGCTTTTATTTTATCAAAAAAATTGGACAGAAAAATTGGTTCTGATATATCGTCAGAAGCTTAATAGGGATTGACAGCATTTTTTCGATATACCGTGAGTTTCATGGTTTGTTTGTTAAACAGATCGAGGGTATTGTATATTTCTACGGAAATCATTTATTTATAGAAAGGATATATTAATGTGACATTATATAGATTTAAAATAATCAAAGACCAACTTTTTTATCAATTTCATGTTTACCAAAAAAAGCTTTTAAGTTTTTTGGGTATATTATAGTCTAAATTGTTCATGGCATTGCATCAAGTTTTATAACAATCGGATCATCCCTTCCAAAGCTTAGCCCGGACGGACAGACAAGCAGACAGAGGGACATAAACTATATAATTGGTTATTACGTCTTAATATAATGCAAATAACCCCTGACCTAAACAGAAGTCAATTATTTCAACATTACGGGCAGATGCATCGATTTTATTTATATAGATATTTATATGAATGACAGCACAGCTGTATCTGTATTAACACCGTTACGTATACGTGCCCCTGCCAAAGGTTAACAGTTACCTATGACTGTTTTTTTACAAGCTTTTATTTAACTTGCAAAGTAACTGTGTTTGTTCGGGTGGAATCTTGCAACTCAATTTTGAAGCAGATATCTTCAATTGATTGAGCTGAAATTTTGTATACACGTTAAGTTTAGATGACAATGCATGGTCAGCTATGTGACGTCATTCTAAATGCAACATGGCGGAACACCCAAGATGGCGGACTAGTTATTTTTAATGCACTCCTACAATATGGGTATCAAATGAAAGAACTTGCTTAGTGTAACTCGAAAAATAAAGTGACGTCATTCTAAATATAATACGGCGGACTTCTAAAGATGGCGGGCTAAGTTTTTTATACTTTCCTACAATATGGGTGTCAAATGAAAAGGCTTGCTTAGTGTAACTCGAAAAATAAAGTGACAACACAAATATGGTGGACTTCTAAAGATGGTGTAATAAGTTTTTTATGCTTTCCTACAATATGGGTATCAAATAAAAGGACTTGCTGAGAATACGAATGCGAGTCAATGAAAAATAAGATGATGATCATAAACTAGGTTCCTCCAATCCGTCTGAAATTTTGGTGTACCCCAGTACACCAAAATTTCATTTTGTATTTTGCAGTCCTCGATAATGATAATAAGGTCGAATTGTTCGAGTCTGTAGCATCGGTTGGTTAACTTTGACTTGTGTAATTTAGCGAGATAGGCGTCAACGGAATTTTTGTGCAACTTTGCAACCTGTCTAGGAGAAGGGTAATTCCAAAATCAAACCTGGAACTGTGTTTCGTAAGGCACGAGTAAGCTTCAAGCTGAAATAAGTAGTGCACTCCTCCAAACATCCGAGGCAAGGTGAGGCCGTGCCGAGGACTGAGTGGCATCAGGGTGTAACATGATGTCAATCCGTTTGAAATGTTGGTGTACTAGGTTTTCAGAGTCCTCGAATATGATATTGAGGTCGAATTTCTTGAGTCTGTAGCATTGGTTGGTAGACTTTGACTGTCTAAAGGTCTGGTGAGTGGTGCCATTAGACATATTACAGCAATCATATGGCCCTGCTTCCAGAGAGCACGAATGTATGATACTGACATACCATCCGTCCGTAAAGACTTCGGTAAAGACGGTGTTCATCTCATAAAACCCAAGACTGTACAATTTCCAGCTGTCAATAATATTATGTTAGGCTTCCACAGTACACAAATGCAGGGTAGTACTGTCGACCATGCCGTTGTATACTTAGGTTCGAAGCTCTTCGCTGCTAGTCAAGTACACGTGGCCTTAAGTAGGGTAAAATCATTAGTAGGTCTCCTTATTGAAGAGCTAGACTGTTCGAAATTAACCGACAAGCGACCTTGCAACAATGATGCGTTGAATGATGCGTGCCACGTGCGTGGAAGAAATTTTGCTCAAACTTAGTAAACAGAACAAGTCTGTTGTAATATGTGGAGACTTTAACATCAATCTCCTTGAAACTTCTTCCATTAGTATTAAGTTTAGCTCATTATTTAGATCGTATAATCTTGTTAATTTATTCTTAGAACCAACACGTATTACTGGGCCTAGTGCGACCTGTATAGATAATATTTTTAGTGTTTCCAGTAAATAGGGTCTAAGGTTCTCTACTCTCACTATACAAAACACAACAGGATTAAGCTGCTATTTTACGCTGGTATTCTGTGAGAGCGTGGTCCTTCCCCGGTCGTGCCGACTCATTTGTTTTATAAACATAAAACAGCTGTAGCGTAACTCTACCACGTAAATATTAAAAGCTATAATCAGCGAATGTAAGTAAAGCAGTTCATCGCGTGTACTTAATAATTTTTTATACTCTTGCGGCCTTATTACGAAACGTGTTTTATTACAAGTAAAGTCTCAGGTCTAAACTATCAATTATACTTTTAAAATTTCCTTAAACCTGAGTTTAACCCTGAGACTCAAGAAACCTCGCTTATAATAAGACTGCTGATGTTTCGTTGTCTTTCTCTTTTCATCTTTTTAATAACGTCACCTTCTCACTAGGAGTTTCTCATGTATCGTGGGGGCAGTTTAAATATATAAAATTCACAAGGTCAAACATTTATTTGTAGGCCATACAAATAGTTGTTACGTGCGGGATTCAAATCCACGGCTCTTAGCACTGCATCTCATTGTTAGACCACACGGAACCGTCACAAGCCGGCCGGTGTTTAAAGTGCTC